ACCTGGCGTGGAGTGAGGCTTAACAGATGAAAGTTGTCATGGTAATAATAATAGTAATTAGTATTACGTGGCCTGAACTGCACACGGAGCTGGGTGGCTTGACCTAGGCTTGTCAGGAACCAATGCAGGAGAGAAGGGCTGGTCACAGGGCCTGGGCAGCTCTCGGCCCACCAGCACCCCATCCCCACAGCCTCCCCCAGGGGAGCTGGAGCTCAGAGGCAGAGGTGAACTCTGATCGTACCGGCCACAGTAGGGCCAAAGCTCTTCTCTATTTCTCTGGCCACCCCCCCTCTGTCCCCGAGGGCAGCTCAGAGGCCACCGTGTCCCCAGCAAGCTTCCTGCTGGGTCCCGCCCAACGGTTAAGACGCCTGCCGTAGGCCCACCTTCCCCAGGGAGCCCTTTGTCGTGGCCTCGGTGCTCAGGCTGGGCAAATGGGGCTCGGGGCCTCCACCTGAGTTCTGAGTGCCTTCCTGGCACAGAGCAGGGCCGGGGGAGGGAACTGGGCACGGATCCCACCTGCCCTCGGAGTCTGCCAGGGCCCTGGATGCTCTGAACAATGAGGACTTCAACACAAACAAGCTGGGCATTTTTCACCACAGGGAAGGGGCAGAGCGGGGAAAAGGGTCCAGTCAGGAGGGCAGGAGGCCAGCAGCCCTATTCTGAGTATCGAGGGCTGCCGTGGGTACCCCGTTTCCAAAGACATCAAGCAGACAATGGGGTGGGTGGGTAAGAGCGCTGACATTTGCAGAGCACCTGTTCTCGGCCGACTCGTCTACCCTGTTTCCCCCCGCGGTGTCCTGCTTACTTGGGAAGGATGTAGGGCGCAGTCATCCCAAGGATGGAACGCTGTAGCCAGACTGTCCAAGTTCAATCCCTGCTTCTACCACTTACTGCCTGTGTGATCCCGGGTAAGCTACTTCATCTCTGCGTGCCTCAGTCCCTTCATCTGTAAAATGGGGTGATTAAGGGCATCTACCTCCTAGGGGTGTTGTGTGGGTAAAAAAAAAAAAAAAAAAAGGCAGCTCGTGCTGCTCGTTATTGCCCTGACCATCTTCACCAGTACCCCATAAGGCAGTACCCTTGTATCCCCATTTGTAAAATGGGAAACGGAAGCCCCAGGGGCACAGTGACTTGTCCTGGGACACTCAGCTGGGAGGCTACAGAATCCAGGACTTGATGATTCCAAAGTTGATGCTCTTCTTCCTAAAACTAACTTTTTGGGGACCATGACCTGATAGAAAATCTGATGACAACAAAGATCCTCTTGCCAGAGAGGTAAACACACACGTACATACACGTACCAGATGATAACGTTTCTGGGTGTTCACAGCCCCTCTGAGGCCAGCCCTAGACTAGGGCCCATGAAGACAAGGTTTCACGGATTCTGGGTTAAAAATCCCTGTCTCATATCTTGCTGTGCTCTGGATAGCGTCCTTTTGTTTTCTAAGGATTATATATTGGTTTGGGAAGAGTGCTGTATAAGTATGATAGGTAATTGTTTCAGACTCTTCGGGCCCCGAACTTTCAGGCTACCTCTCTGCTGCCTTTTCACGCCCCACACAGGTGAGGCCAGCTAGAGGTCTGACACTTGGCCACGTTTGCCAGTGACCCTTCTGGACGGAACACATCCCCGCCAAGCCAGGCACTGCTGGTCCCGTCCCCCAGAAAACACCCCCCGACCTCCGCCCTATGCCCTGACCTTCGTGGGTCACCACAGACGCTGGATATTCTGTTTGGAGCTGCCAATCCCTCCCCTGTCCTACTCCATCCCCTGGAAGGAGCCGTCACTGGGGAGCCTGGCCCTCTGGCTGACGGATGGGCCAACGCGAGACCTGGGAGGAGAGCAGAGCAGAGAGGGGGGCGAGGGGGATGCAGGCACATCTTGCCTGGCTCCCTCCCTGCTTTGGTTCAGGGCCCTGGCACTGGCTACATCCCTCCAAACCTGGGGACCAGCTGGCCATCCCCAAGGTCCCTGCTCTCCCTGGAGCCCAGGGGCATCACTTCCTCCTGCTGCTCCTTCACCTCTGTCCCCTGCCCCCACCTCTGCATGGCAGGCCTGGGGTAAGTTCTGTTCCCTGCTGGGACCCTGACATCCACCCGCGGTGCCGGGGAGGGTCTCTCAGGGCTCCCTTTCTGCGCACTTGGTTAGCTCAGAGCCGGGGGCCCCTTCCAGAACCTGGGGGAGGGGGGGAATGTCCCCTCAAGGGGACTCAAAAGAAGTGCAGGGGCTTCCCTGGTGGCACAGTGGTTGGGAGTCCGCCTGCCGATGCAGGGGACACGGGTTCGCGCCCCGGTCCGGGAAGATCCCACATGCCGCGGAGCGGCTGGGCCCGTGAGCCATGGCAGGCTCACCGCTGAGCCTGTGCGTCCGGAGTCTGTGCTCCGCAACGGGAGAGGCCACAACAGTGAGAAGCCTGCGTACCGCAAAAAAAAAAAAAAAGTGCAAACACATGGCTGGGCTCTGACACCCAGCGCTGGCCTTGGTGGGGCCTTTTCTCACCTCTGCACCTCTGTTTTCTCATCTGTAAATGGGGACAAGGTAACACGCACATCGCAGGGTGTCAATTCTAAAGCGCCACCTATGTTTCTCACTACGATTTGGTATTCATCTCCTCCATTTCTGGAAGGGACCCTGTACCTTCTGGGCTCAGGGTCTGGATGATTCAGGAGGAAGGCAGCCGTGCGGTAAACACACACACCCTAGATCTAACGGAGGCCCAAGGCTTTTACAAGTGGCATCTGCTACTATAATGCCATGCGTGGGGTTGTGGCACGGCAGGGCGGAGGGCTCTAGAGCTGGCCTAGAGTTCAAATGTCAGCTGTGCACTTTCCAGGCTTTCTCATGTCTTGGGCACACGGCTGAACCTCTTTCTCTGTCTGTTAAATGTAGACAGCAGTGCCCATGGCTGGAAGGGTTGCCGTGAGGATGAAAGAGACAACGTGTGTCACATACAGAGGACGGCCCGGCACAGAGGAAGCCTTTAATAAACAGTAGCTTTCACAAGTCCCTTTAATGCTCGGCTGGTCTCAGTTCTGTCATCCGCAAAACGGGGCTAGTCAGGCCCACCTCACGGGGCTGTTGGGGCATTAATGGGAAGATGTATGCAAACAACCTGCTGTCTTTCCGGATATTATTATTGTATCGGCCCCTGTCTGGGCCTCGGCCTGCAGCTGATAGAGGGAGATAGCCAATCCCAGGCTTTCTGCTGGGGTAAGGCAGTAAATGCCGTCTCTGGAGCTCAGTTTAACGAAGGGGCTACTCTCCAATGCAGGGAAGGACTGCTGAGTCCCACTCCCCCGCGGGGTGGGTGGGTGGGGGGCAGGGGGACGGGAGAGTCCCTTACACAAACATTTGCCGATGGGTGCATTTAGGCCCGTCAATGGCTGTCGATAAGGATAGGCTCTCCTCCTGCACGGCAGGATTTGGGGACTTATTGAGTTGTGTGCTTGCGACTGTGTACTTAGCCCTGATGGCTCTGCTTTCTCGTTTGCCTTTGCTTATGTATTCCTCAGCCTCGGACTGGCCCAGGCTGGCATGGGGGCCCGGAGATGAACCAATCAGTGACAGAGGTGACATGACGGCACACGACGGCACGCTCTCCACCCTGGGGGAGGCGCCAGTCCAGCAAGAAGAATCGTTAAGAAATACAGGACGGGGACTTCCCTGGTGGAGCAGTGGTTCAGACTCCACGCTCCCAATACAGGGGGCCCAGGTTCGATCTCTGGTCAGGGGACTAGATCCCACGTGCATGCCGCAACTAAGGAGCCCGCCTGCCACAACTAAGACCTGGTGCAACCAAATAAATAAATAAAATTAAAAAAAAAAAAAGAAATACATGATGATGTGGCAAGGAGGTTTAGGAACACAGGTGGGAGAGCAGAGAACGGGGCCATTACTGATACCTGGGGGTGGAGGGTGGGGAAAGGGAAGGCTTCTTGGAGGAGGTGTCATTTGAGCTGGGCCTTAAAGGCTGGATAGGCACTTGCCAGGTTGGAAAAAAAGAGAAAAACAAAACTGAGAGGCAAGGCATTCTGAGCACAGGGAACGGCATATGCAAAGACACAGAGTCCTGCCTGGCATTTGGAGACAGTGACCTCCACGGGAGGTGTGGTGGGGAAGGATTAGGCAGGAAAGGCCACTGCGGGGGGGCACAGGGGTGTGTTCTGAAGGGTTTGGCAGGCGGAGCTAGAGTCAAAGGGCTTCCATGCTGTTTCTAGACAATGTGCTAGAGAAGGCGAGGCCCGTGTGAGGCCTCTGGCTGCCCTCTCCAGCCACAATGGCCACCCCGTTTCTCGATGTGTCACGCTCATGCCAACCCTGGGCAGCCCTCCTGTGGGCACAAACGTCACCTCTGCGGGGAGGCCTTTCTGGACCTAGCCCCTTCCACCTGGACCCAAAGCCCCCCGAGGTCACTGCTGCGCTCCTCACACTGGGGCATGGCAGGGGCTAAGTATTTTCTGGGGATGGACTGCATTACTGGCGAGGCTGTGTGATGCCACCAAGGTGTATAAGAGGTGGAGCTGGGTCCTGTGACCATTGGGGCCTGGGCAGGAAGCGGAAGGCACTCAAACTGGATAACTGACGAGGGTCCAGTAAACAGGTAGCAGGCACAGGGAAATCGGGGCAGGTGGTCCCTGGGTCAGCCACTGGACCCTGGATGGAGAGTGCTGGGTGCAGAGAGCCACTGGATGTGAGCTGTGGCCTCTGGGGGCAATGACAGCCAGCCGGCAGCAACCAAGCAGGAAGTGAGGGGGGCGGGGGGGGTAACCACCCCTCACCCAGGCTGTTCCTCTCCCCGATATCCTGCCAGGCCTCCCAATGACCTGACTTGACTGGGAAACCAAAAGGGCGTGTAGGCCACCAATGCCACCCACTCGGGTTAGCACCTCCCACTGGCACAGAGAAGCGTATGGATGGCGAAGGGTAGATGTGAAGGAGACGGAGGGAGGTCCAGGAACCTGGCCCCCGCAGCCCGGCCGGCGGACGGCAGTTCTCTTACCGTGGAAGTGCTCGGCCGTCTTCCGCCGCAGGGTCTGCAGGCTCACCTCGGAATTGGCCCACTCCAGCACCAGCCTCCGGCCGTACAAGTGGGTGCTGTGACACAGGGCGTTGAAGGCCCTCTGGAACGAAACACAGCGTGTGAGCAAAGACCCACCGGCAGACGCTACAGCCTGGTCTCCTACCCGCCAGCACCGCAAACCTAAAGGCCAGCTCTGGCCCCGCGACACCTGCTTCCTGGGGCGGGTGTAGGGAGCTAATGGGCACTTCTATTCCATTAGTGGGTTACGTGCCCAGGGACAGTGCTGCAAGTGGCCGTGCGCTCAATACATCCACTCTCTGGGCTGTGACTGGTGCCTGGGCCAGGCAGCAGGCTTCCCTCCCGTGTTCCATCCCATCTGGGGACGGCGACCCCGTTAGGCGGCTGGCCTCCCACCCGGCTGCCAGGGGCAGTGCCTCTGAGGAAGCCGAGCCCGTCCGGCCCCTCGATGACAACCACAGGGGCCCTTCACTGTCACTGGGCGGCACCGTCCTCTGCGGGTCCTGGGGATTCTGGCCCCCATCTCTCTCTGCTGGCCTCCGCTGAGGCTCCCTTGGCCACCGCACTGCCGTGGTCCCCCAGCCACTGGCTTCCGCCCCGGGCTCAGCGGCCTGGGACCTGCGCACGCTCTTGCCTCCCGCCCTTCGCTCTGCCTGACCCCTCCCCGCACTCTGCCTACTTCCCTCTTTTTGACTTTCGTTTTGTAACAGCTTTATTGGGATATAACTCACCATACATACGAGTCACTATCATAGAAGCCACCCGTCTACAATTCAATGGCTTTTAGTCTATTCATAGACTGGTGTGATCACCACCATACCTATCTTAGAACATTTTCATCGTCATCACTGCAAAAGAAACCCTCTACCCATTGGCAGCCACTCCCTGTTCCCCCTGCCCCCCCGCAGGCGCTAGTCTACTGTCTCTGTGGATTTGCCTATTCTGGACACTTCCTACAAATGGACTCATATGGCACCAGCGAGTTCCCTCTTAAACATCACCAGGTCTAGAGCTAAATTGGCTCTGTGCTGGGGCTCTTCCCAAAACACCCCTGAGGTACACAGAGGCCACTGCACTTGGTAGCCAGGAGCTTGGGCTCTGAGGCCACCCTGCCTGGGCAGGGCAGGTCCTGCACTTCCTAGCTTCAAGGCTTTGGGCAAGTTAAATGAATCTCCCTGGCCTCAGTTTCCTCATCTGTAAAATGGGAACATTAACGGCACTATCCTCTAGGGTTCTACAGAAGAAGACAAAGAGTTAACATGCAAAGTGCCCAGAACACTCTGGGGGCGCACAGTAAGTGCTCAATAGATGCTACTTCTCGTGAAGATGGCGTTGCCACCACAGACATTTGCAATTTCTCTCGGCACAGAGGCCTCGGGTTAGTGCTAGGTTGAAGGCGCGGGCTCCCAGGCGCTGTCAGCACCAGGGAGCAGCAGTGGCCAGTGGTGGCGTCTTGGTCTCTGCTTCTGGGTTGCAGGCAGCGCCACCTGCTATGAAAAGAGGCGCCATGGGGTTTGTCCCTCTTGCTTCTTTGATGCTGTGAAGAGGCAGTGCATAACCAGGGGTCTGGATTGGAACCAGTCCCTCTCTGGCCTCATCTGCACTGTGACTCTTAGAGGTTGGACTGGGTCCCCCAAAAGAAGAGATGTGGAAATCCTAACCTGGCACCCCAGGTTGCGACCTTATCTGCAAACAGGGTCTTTGCAGATGCAGTTAAATTAAGACGAGGACATCCTGGAGTACGATGGGCCCCTGATCTAGTGTGACTGGTGTCCTTACAAGAGATGGCCATGTGAAGACACAGGGTGAATGCACGTGACAAAGGAGGCTGGGGTGATATCCACAGCAGGGAATGCAGGCTGTCACCGGAAGCTAGGGGAGAGGCACGGAATAGATTTTCCCTGAGAAGAACCAATACTGCTGACAAGCTGATCTTGGACTTTCGGCCTCTAGAACTGTGAGAGAAGACATTTCTGTTGTTTTAAGCCACCCAGTCTCTTACAGCAGCCTAGGAAGGCAACAGTGGCCTTGGGTAAGCCAACTGCCCCCACATGAGCTTCAGTTTCCTCACCTGTAAAATGGGGCTAACTGTGAGACCATCAGCCCTGAGCGTGGCAGAGAGCAGGTATCTGATAGACGGCTGCATCTGAAAAGCACCGGTGCGAGGTGGGTGGGACATGCGTCTTTTAAAAATTAGACATGGGCCCAAATTAAAGAAATGCTTTTGTTCTCCTTCGTGCTTTTCTGAGAAGGGCCAGGTGCAGGAAACTTTTTCTTTTCTTTGTTTTTTTTTTAAACGTTAATTTAAAAAACTCTTTCTGCCAGCAGAGCCTCTGCATTTTTTTTTTCCATGCGGATATAAAAATGCATCTGGACTCCAAGCCGGAATGGCCCATTCAGAGCTTTAAAATGCACGCATTCTCAGCTGGTGAGGCAGAGAAACAGCCTGACTGGGGGAGCTGGGGTTTTAAGAGCGGGGAGTGAAACTGGTCGGGAGTCTGGCATGGCGGGTACTCCATCCTGGTGCCAGGGTCCCTGAGGAGCTGCAGTTCCGGGGACACGGTCCGATGGGGGCAGCCAAGAGGTGGCATCTGGTAGGAACTAAGTCAGAGTCAGAACAAGGGGGTACTGGAGCCTGGCAGGTGAGTCCAGGCGAGATGCCCCAACTCCAGCCGTCATATCTGTGTTTCTTTCTTACCCTTGGAAACCCTCTCTCCGTTCCTGTGGCACACAAAGCCTGTAGCGGTCTCTGTTCATTATCGGAGTTGCTAAAAATTCCCTCTCCCAGCCTCTCTCTGACATCACCCCTTGCAAATTCTCATCTCCTCTTTGGAAGGGCTTTTCACTCTAAGAGGTGAGGGGGCACGGCAACTAAGACTGGGGGCTCTGGACCTGGGCTACTATGGTTCAAATCCCTGCTTCATCCCTTATAAGCTGTGTGATCTCGGGCAAGCTGCTTAACCTCTCTGAGCTTGAGATTCGCCACGTGTAAAATGAGAGGCAGCAGCAAAGAATGGATGCGCAGATTCAATGAACTATTAAGTCTGACGCCACACTGCCTGGCACGTGGTAATTCTCACCTAAGTGTTGGCTGTTATTATTATGATGTATGCCCTCCACTTCCCATTATCACGCTAAAGAGCAGGGAGAATGGTAAGTAGGGTACAAAAGCTCTTTTGTATTTGAGGTTAGAGCACAATGTGTGAATCTCCAAAAATAGCAGAATTACCCTTCCCGGTTCTAGTCCCCTCAGGTTAATAGGAAATCAGGTTGTGTTTCCAGCCCTAGTGGTTGGAATGTGGTGGCCCCAAACTATCGCAGGCAGGAAGCCAGTGATTCCTGGCTAAAATTGGCCTTGGATAATTCCGAGTAGTGGTGCTTCATGCAAAGAGCCTGTTATATGTGAGACCCGGGGAGGGTGACGGGGAGACACAGCCCCAGGGATTTGGGGCTTTTGGGCCAGTGCAGGGGAAGGTTCCAGGCACAGCCCCGGCCTCTCTGGCCTGCCCTCCTCTAGCAGCTTCCTCCCAGGTCTCTGTGTCTACACTAGACTCCACCGAAACCCACACCACCTTCTCCCCAGACAGAGACTTCCCGAACCTCAGCTCTAGGGCTGCGGTCGTCTCGGGGTGCCCGGGGTTCCGCGGAGTGCCAGGCGCTACAATGGAGGAAGTGGAAATTTAGCTGTTCCCAGCCCTTTGCTTCTCTCCGAATCCTGCTTCTGTTGCCTGTGTTCCTCCCTTGCCATCCAAGGGCCTTCATACCACGGATTAGAGATGTCCTGGGTTCCAGAGAACTCTAAGCACTTGACCTCAACCTACTCATGAGAACAGACATCATTCTCCCATTTCAAGGATAGGAAAACTGAGGCCAAGGTTGGTATGCAGGTCAAGTTCCTCCTTACTTTTCCTTTCAGCCTCTATGTGTTCCATCCCTGGGCCTTCGTAACATCCCTCTCAGCCTCGGAAAGGTTCCCTTCGTACAGACTGCAGCCAGGTGCCCTCTGTGTGCCCTGCGCCCCCAGCCTCCTTAAGAACACCTGCCCCGTTAATGCCTGCTTGTGTGCCGGGCTCCCTGGCTCGACCTTGAACCTCGGAGGGAGGCCTCTATCCTGGCTACCCTTGGCACAGAGCTCAGGACACAGCGTGCCCGGTAAATTTCTGCAGGGCGAACCATGGAGCGAGACCTTCACCGAGGGTCGTGAAAGCACGTCTCCAGACTGGGAGGGACGCTGAGGTTGGTCCCGGCTGGAGATGGACGGCTGGTTTAGATGTACTGCCCTGGCTCCTCCAACCCCCGAGATTCAGCCCACGAGGGCAGCAGGGAAAGGAGCACGTCTCGCCCACGACTGTCCTGTCCTGTACAAGTGGGAGGCTCTGCCTTTGGTTAGGACAAGAGCTGACACATACACAGTCCTGGGTGCGGCACAGAGACGGACAGGAGGCCCCGCTCCCAACATGCGTGACTTTGGGACCTTGGGATGGGAAGAGTCACCTGTGCCACTAACACCCGATCGCCCAGCTGGGTCACTGCCGAAGCCTGAAGGTCTAGAACGGAACTCTAAGGGTGCACTGGTTTGGCAAAGAGGAGGATGCTGTAGAAGATGAGGTTCCCCCCGCCCCCCGGCCACTTCGGGGCCACTTCCTTCATCACCCGATGGGCCCGTGCTGGTTATTCCTGATCTTCCCCTGCACCCCCTCTCGGGGCTTTCAGAGCTGACTCCCCTGGAGGGCATAACCAGGGCTCGCTGGCCTTGGGTACCATTTAGGATGAGCAAATGGAAGGCGCCGGTGAGAGGCTGGAGGGAGGGGCAGAGAGGCCGGGGGACTTTCTCCCTGGACCCCTCCCTCCAGGACCACAGCTCCTGCCGGTGGCCCCTCCTTGACAGCTCAGGCTCTCACCTGTCCCTTCAAGGTCCCTTAGCCTAAGGTGGCGACAGCTCCCACTGCCACTGGCCCTGGTAGGGGTGGGTCACATCCCTGGCGAGCCCCACCGAGCCCTTCTTACCCCTCCATGAATCTCTCTTCACTTGAACCATCTGGGGTTAGGTTCTGTTTGCTGACACAGATGGTCGCCTGGAGT